AAGAAAGACAGGAAGAGAAAGACAGCAAAAGAAAGACAGGAAGAGAAAGACAGCAAAAGAAAGACAGCAAGAGTATCTACTTGTACCTGGTAACATGCTCCTTGCTTGCGATGCCTGGATGCGCTTGTTTTGAGATAGCGTCTTGCCCCACGACTTGAGAGCTGTTGACGAGATGAGAAAAGGAGAGGAGGAGAGAGGAGGAGAGAGGAGGAGAGAAGAGGAGGAAAGGGGAAAGGAGGAAAGTTGAAGAAAATGAGTGTGAGAGAACAAGAGAACATTAGGAAAAGAGGAGAATCGAAAATCAGAAGAGCAGAGCAAGAAGAAGTGAGGAAGCGAAGACGAGATGAGGAGCGATATAAGTATCATCGTTAGCACTCACCTTAACATCCTCCGGTTCTTTCCTCCTGGCGCCAAGTGATCCCTGAAGAGCTCCACGATTTCCTGCCTCCTACTTCAGAACTTCTCCCTCCTCCTTGCTCGCCCATGACCTTCTTGGTAACGTCCTTGAGATGCGCTGCCTCCTGTCTCCTCCTGTCCCAGCATTCCTCCCGCATGCAGATCTCATGGAACAATCTCGAAGATCGCTGCTCGAGCGTGATGTCCGGCTCCAGCTTCTTGGTCCTCAACGAGTCCACATGCTCTCTGAACGTTTCTTCCTCCTGCAGCGAGTCAGGTCCCTCCTCCTCCCCCCCCCCCAGCTCCTGCACCATCTCCTGCAGGTAGGAATGAAAGCTCTGCAGGAACGACTCGATTCGCTGCTCGAGCTCATGAGGGGGTTTGAGCGACTGGATCACAATCCGGATGCCCAGCACTCCCCATCTGCAGCCATACATCACTCCTCGTCCTCGTCCTCGTCCTCGTCCTCGTCCTCGTCCTCGTCCTCGTCCTCGTCCTCGTCCTCGTGACACCCCCCCCCCCCCCTCCGTCCTCGTCCTCCTCGACCCCTCCCCCCCCCCCCTCTCCCTCTCTCGCTTCCTCCATTGCAACCCCAGCTAGTTCTCACCTAGAGTGAACTTCAGAGCTCACAATGTAACCGAGTTGCTCTTTCGTCCGGAGCTAAAAGTGAAGTTAGCTCCTTCCATCCTGCTCCCCTCACCTCCCGTCTCCCTTCTACCCTTTCGTCTCCTCTCCTCCCTTTGCCGCCCCTCCCGCTCTCTCCCTCTATCCTACTCCTCGCTTCCTCTCTCCTTCCTCTCTCCTACTCGCATGCCCTTCACCTGCGTATACGCTTCCTTGACGAGCATCTGGCAGAGCAAGTCTGCATGAGAGCTCAACTTGTGAGAAGTTTTTCCGATCTGATTGCAATGGATCAGTTGTCCACCTTGAATGCTTGGATTATCTCATGATCAGTAGCGATCACAAGAACCATCACCACTATCACTACCACCATCACCACTATCACTACCACCATCACCACTATCACTACCACCATCACCACCACCACCATCATCATAGATTGACCTGAAGTAAGAGAGATGGCCGAGTCGAGATGCTCGTCGCAGGGACAGAGTTGCTCGTGAAGGATGCGACTAGGAGCAGATGGGAGCTGCACAGGAACAGAGATCGAGAGGAGAGAGGAGATGGAAGGAATGGCGTAAGGAGGAAGCAGTGAGAGGAGAAGGAGGAGGAGAGGAGGAGGAGGAGGAGGAGGAGGAGGGTAGTGGTAGCCAGTCAGTAATGAAGATGCGGTTGAAGAAGACGAGTGGGTGACTAGGGGATTAAGAAGAAGGAAGAGTGCAAGGAGGGAGGAGGAGAGGAGGATGAGGATGAGGATGAGGATGAGGAGGAGCAAGACCTTTGTCATGGTAAGCGGAGGAAGTTGTAGAGGGGGATCTTTGCATTCGAGCAATTTTTCAACATCTTGCAAGATTTGCAAACTTTCTTGCTGGTCGATGTTGCCATGAATGAGACTGTCAATCTGTTTTGATCGGTCAGAAGAGGCAAGAGAGGAATCGAGGAGGGGAAGAAGAGGAAGGCAGAGGATTGAAAGAGGAGGAGGGAGAGGAGGAGGAGGGAGAGGAGGAGGAGGGAGAGGAGGAGGAGGTAAGAGAGACTAGTGAGTGATTATGGAGAAAAGTTATGGCCTGAGATGGAGGTTGAGCGGTAGAAGCAAAGGGAGAGGATTGGGAGAACGAAGGGAGAAGCAGAGGAAGAGGATGAAAGAGGAGGAAGCAATGATAGGGAAGAAATGGAGGGAGGGAAAGAGAAAGGAAAACCTTTAAGTTCTCAAGGTATTTCTGTTTGAATTCCATCAGATTGTTGAGTTTCATCTCACTCAATTTTTCCAATCGTTGATCGTGATGGAAGAAGGGACTCTCGAGGAACTGAGTGTTGGAAAGAACAGCATGGAGGTATGACAGTTGAAATCTTGACACTCAGCGTCATCAACCCGACATCTTCCTCCCACATTTTACCTTCTGTTTCGATAATCTGTCATCGCTCGCTCCTGATAACAAGGTGAGAAACGGAACAGAAGGAAAGAGGAAGCAGAGGACGGGGGAGTAGGAGGAAGAGAAGTGGGGACGGGGTGAGGGAAAAGAAGGGGAGAAGGGAGAACTGAAGCGGCAGAGGAAGAGCAGGACCAGGAGGGGATACTGACTTTTGCCATGTCGAACACTTCTGGTGACGGGTTGAGAGACTTCAAAGCGTTGAGCACATCAAACATCAACCTTGAGAGAGCAGTGAGGAAAGAATGAACAGCGTGCAAGAAAACAAAAATCATCACTCACTTGGAAAGTTTGGAGCTGTACCCAAAGAACAACATCCTCAATCCGTAACAGGGTGAGAGGAAAGAATAGTTGGTGATCTCAACACTGATCCCGGCTTCTTCTGCCATGTATCTCTTCTCGTTGATTGTGAACTGACATTGACGTGTCAAGTTGTCCATCCTTGACAGAAAAGGCAATAAACGAACCTCCAGCGTTTCTAGAAGGAGTCGAAGTAGAACCGCATTCTCAACGCTACAGGCATGTTTGAGTGGAAGAACGGGTAGAGGAAAGTTGAGACATTCAAACGAAAAGAGCAAGCCTAGTGCGCACAAGAGACCGTTTTCAATCAGGGCAACAGCAGCGAGGGAGAAGCAATGTCAAAAGAGGGGAACAACTTGAACATCATATGAAGAGAGTCCAAGGGAAGGAGCGATTGAACGTACTTCTGATCTGAGATGGGAGAGTTGAGGGAAAGAAAGATGCTGGCACGTGGAACCTGCGATGGGTTCATAGGGAGACGGGGGGAGGAAAACTTGAAAACCTTGAACGAGACGTCGAGGAGATGCCAGCCAGTTATGAACGAATTATCGATGACCTTGGATGGAACAATGTTGGCATCTTCGAATGAACAAGTGTCAGCGGAGAAGACTAAAACGAGGGGTAAAGGGAGAATGTCAAACTGATGAAGCGAATTCAGCAAAATGCAAAAGATGAAAGAAGAGTGTATTGTGGTTGCACAGGATAAATATAAAGGTTGATCTTTCACCTTGCCCTTCTTTGACTTCTTCTGTCAAGATGTGCATCGTGTCGGACGGGAGATAAGGGTTCACAGGAGGAAGAGACATTTTCTTGACAGCATCAGAAGTTGCACATTCACAATCCCCCGAAAGGTGACAAAACCTGTCGAGATGAAGACAAACGGAACGGAAAAAGTCAAACATGTCAAATTAAGGAAGGGAAAAAGTCAAACATGTCAAATCAATAGTAACGACATAGCAAGTTGCCCACCAGTCTTGAGCTTGAGAGATCCAGGTTGAATTGTGCTCTCGTACTTTGTACCTTTCAAGAAGAACAATCACACACAACTTGTCGAGGGTCTCGTCAGCCAACACAGCCAATGTAAAGTACAGAATGAATGATCATATCTCTTAAGACTCTGCATTACTCATCATCATCGTTGTTGTTGTCGTCACCTTGTTCCAAAGTACTTCTCGACCCAGAACGTCTCATCACTAGCGGAATCAGCGGAAGGAGGAGGAGGAGGAGGAGCCATTTCCTGCCCTTCTAGAAAATCTTTTGGCAGCTCATTCTCAGGGCATGTGAGATGCTAATTGAACACAGGAAATCAGAATTTCATGGCGCCGTTTCCTCATCGTTACCATCCTCATGTTTGACGCCTTCAAGTAGTTGTCTAGAATGTGGTTGACCCGAAAGTTCTGTCCAGGATCAGTCGACAAGAAGAGGAATCATAATATTCATGGTGGTGGTGATGATGATGATGAGAAGAATGCAGTGGAGGAGGAGGAGGAGGAGGAGGAGGAGGAGGAGGAGGAGGAGGAGGAGGAGGAGGAGGAGGAGGAGGAGGAGGAGGAGGAGGAGGAGGAGGAGATGATGATGATGAGGTGGCGGAAGAAGTGATCAGGAGGAGCTGGTGATAAAGGAGAGAAGGATAGCGGAGTGTGAAGGCATGAAAGAGACGGGAGCAGCGTTGAATTTTGTGACCTGCTGCTCATCAAACTCTTCAAAGAACAACTCAGTGGCACAGAGGACTTCCTGCAATCTTGATATCACAAACTGCGGGCTGTCTAACAAGATATTTGTTCACCTTTGGAGGATAATAATGCATTGCGTGTGCCATATTTTCAGACTGAGCGTCCTCCCTGTCTCTGCTGTTTACAAACGATTCAGCAGATGCGCACAGCGAGGGAGAGGAAAGAAGAAGAGTAGCTAACCTCTTGTACAGGAAGTTGAAATCGTGAATCTTCTTCAACTCCAACCACAACGGATATCTTGCAAGCTTCTGATCAAAGGCAGCAGCATCTTTTTCAAGTCCTTCATTCACCTCTCCTCAAACTCTGATTTCCTCAGCAGGTGAATGAAATGGAACACAATCTGCACCATCCCGACTCATCAGCGGGCTGGAGACGGAGACAACTAGTTCCCACCTGCATTACTCGATTCCACGATGGGACCCCCTCCTCTGTCAAGATGACTGACACCACGAAGAGACAAGAGTTCGCGAGCGAGAGAGTCTGAACCACTTGTCAACTATCGCCACCATCTCCTTCCCCTCCTCCCTCCTCTTCTTCTCTGCTTTCCTGCCCTCGTCCTGCGCAACATACTCTCTTGCTACTCCTCAACTCCTCAAATTTCCTCCTCCTGTTCCTCTCTTTCCTGCTCCTGCTCCTGCTCCCTCCTCTTCTCCACCCCGCCTCCTCACCGGGCCAGCCGACAACTCCGAAGCATACCCGAGCTCCTTGAGAACAGCGAGCAAGGATCCTGAGCAGCGATGAGGAGGAGACGACGGGTAAGTTCGCGTCACCTGGTCCCTCATGGCCGATGAGGTGACTAATAAGCTGAGCCGGCTTCGTCTTGTAGAAGGGCTGGATGGGAGGGATCGGAAAGAACATGGCCAGGCGCCGCCTCTCTGTGACCTGGTCAGGGGAGAGCAGGAAAAGTTTGCAAGCAGCATGCGAACCTGAAATGGGAGAGATGTAGAAACTTCGCTTCCAGGATGCATCTAATGAAAACAATGAATGGTTGCAGAAAATGAGTCAATGAGGAGGGTGAGGAGCAAGAGAAGGAGGAGAGGAGCAAGAAGCAGGAGAAGGAGAGGGGAGGAGAGGAGCAGGTGAAGGAGGAGGAGGAGGAGGAGGAGGAGGAGGGCTGAGAATGAAATCATTCTTGCAAGAGTAGGAGAGGCATGCAAGGGTTGAACTGCTGGCTGTGCAATACCATAAGGGACGGAGGAAATCCAATCTCTCAAAGGAACATTCTGCCGATTCGGCACATCGGAGAAGAAAGAAGTAACCAATTCCTGCAAGCAATCGATCAGAGAGGAATCGACACAATCAAGACTTCTATCTTGTTGTCTACCTCCAGCTTGTCTACAGGCTCCTTCCCTATGACTGCGAGGCGCATGGCGTTTGCCGAGTAAAATCTCTCGTGGAACTGAAGGAGCTTCTCCCTCACATTGATGCCTGCCTTCTTCGGATCCTCCAAGAGAGTCTCCAAGTTGCCTCCTCCGAACCGAGACATTGAGTGATCAGAGCTACAAGTGCTTCGTAGCAGCTGGTTCTCCCTCCTGTCATCGTCCTTAAGATTCTTGTTGTGCTCTGAATCTACCGCATTCATCTCGCGCTCGGTCCCACTCTCCGAGAAGAGGGGACAGGAGAAGAAGGCAGCAAACCTCTCCAGCACTTGCTCCAACCTGTCATGCGAGACGATGAAGTGGTACATTGTGTGATCCAGCGAGGTCCAAGCGTTGGAGTACCCTGCCGACTTCCCGCAGATCTCGTCGAAGTTGCTCTCCTCAGGGAACTTGTGCGTCCCCAGGAACAGCATGTGCTCAAGAAAGTGAGCGAGCCCCTGCACCTCTCCAGGATCATCCAGCTGGCCAGCCGCTACACAGAGAGCCGCCGCTGCAGAATGGCAGGAGGGGTCGGAGACGACGATGGCCTCAAGCTGGTTGGCGAGCTTGATGTGCTTGTAGGCTCTCTCGTCTGTTAAGGGCTTGATGATCCAACTGCTCTCGTGCTCTTCACACGTGCCGCTTGTGGATCCAGAGCCATCGCCACCCGGCACTTGAGGTTGGCGGAGGGAAAGCAAGTGGGATATGGATGGGGATGGTTTCAAGACATTCGCAGCATTGCGGTGCAGCTTGAAGGAGTTATGATGTCTCTCTATCACACTCATGGCAGAGGATAAGAGCATGCACAAGAAGAGGCTGCGACGTCCAAAGTTCATGATGCCGAGAGTGTCGACAAGGAGCTTTCAAGCCTGCTGCTGTTTCTTCTCCTGGCTTCTGCTGCTTCTGCTGCTGCTGTCGTCACTGTCGCTGCTGCTGCTGCTGCTGCTGTCGTCACTGTCGCTGCTGACTGTCTTCCTTCTCTTCCTCCTCCTGTTCTTGTTCACTTCACCTCCCCTCTGAAATGGCCGCCGAAACCATCACCGGTGGGTCGGATCCCCACAACTTTCAAACTTTCAAACTTTCAACGCGCTCAAGGAATGAAACCTTCAAACTTGAAAAGTCTTCTCTACCACAATGCACTAGCAGCAATGCGGGCAAGGAAAGGCACCGAACTGCCAGACGATCCCATCGACGAGGACGAGCAGGATGCAGGTGAGAGCAAGAGGGATGCATGCTCAGAAAACTCCCTCTGACTCGTCGCAGTCATCGAGCAGTTCAAGACAAATCAGGAGAGAGCAGAAAAGTTTTTCTCCACCCTCCTCATCCTAGTTCTGGTTGCGTTGTTCGGTGAGTTCATGCCGCTTTTATCAGGTTCTCATGACGTCACTGGCAGCGTTCTTCATCATGCATGCTTACTTGCATGTCCTCTCCCCTTGGCCATCACCTTTCGAGGGGTTGAGGGAAGCCGACAAGGTCGAAATCTTATTCTAACATGCTCTCGTGATGGGATCATGGCAGCTAGGAAGAAATCTAGCAGGGTCTGGTCACACTCTCACTGCTATCTCCATCCTCTTCAACGCTGTTTCCATCATTTCCAATGACAAGATGAGAAGCATGCGAAGATCGCTGTTGAACATTGCTGCCCTAGCAGCGATCTTGGTAATCTGACTTGAAGACATCTTGGTTGATTCATCAACTCATGTCAGAGCTTGGTTATCTGGATCCGAGTTCTCTCAAGCCTCCCAACCTTCTCACGTCCCTACTTGTTCTTCTTCACCAGCATTTTGCTCGGCCCATTCCTCATACAGGTGAATTTACAACCTCACATCATTTTGCCCCTGGTGACGGCATTCAGGCTTGTTTCATGCACGTGTGTTTGGAGACTCGTAAGGAGATATCGAAGCTGCATGGCTACAAGTACCGCTGCAGGAATGCTTGAGTGGTAGCGGACAACAACTGCTGCAGTAGAGACTTGTCTACAACTGTTTGTAACTTGATTGAAGTGTGTTAAATTTCGAAAGTTGGCAGTAATGTACAATGGTGTGAATTCCTCCTCTCATCTCGCTTGCAGCGACAACCTCAGTTGAGCCTCAAAGTTCTGCCCCTTCTGGACCTGCCAGCCGCTCAGCGTTCGCTGCCCCCTCCTCCTCACCTCCCATCTCCGACTACCTGTAACGATCTTTCCTTCCATTCTCTGTACGCACGCTGCAAGCACCTGCTCGCGTAATCCTCGGCTGCAGTGGCCGTCCTGCCCATCTTGTCACATCGCTCAAGTTTGACAACCTTTCCTACCTCCCGCCGTCGTGCATAGTCGTCGGCTCAGCCACCACCATCGAACCCTCCTTGTGCGGCGCCTGCTCGTCCTTCCCTTTCATTCCAGTCTCTGACTTATCATTCGTTTCATCGCCCAGCTGGTGGTCCATCTCATCGTCCTGCCCCAAGTCTCCCCCCGACAGGACTCGTTTCACGCACGCCGCGAACGTGTCGTAGTACCGCACGTGCTCCCCGTGGACCGGGATGTGCAAGTCTTTGATAACCTGCCCTCACCTCACCCTCCTCCTCCCTCGCCGCTGCTCTCTCCCTCTCCTCACCTTGATCAGCATCGGCTCGGTGATGTGCTCCCTCTTCAGCCCCAGCGGAGGACTCAGCTTCTTGATGAGTTCGGGCACGAGGGTCACGGATATCCTCCCCTTCGCCCCGGGGTCTAGTTCCATCCAGACCTCCACGAATTCTTGAAGCTGCCGCGAGTTTCAGTTCTCACATCCACAGCTCTGCTCATGTCGCTTCACCTTGTCCATGGGCAGCACGGATGATTCTTCCTTGGAGAGCTCGGCAAAGTTCTCGATGATGACAGCTGCGAAGAGTCAGGACGAGCTCCACAAGGGCAGCTGGGAAAGTCACCTGTGAACAGCTGGACTAGGACGTAGGCTCCGAGGATTTGCCACATCACATGAAAGATGATTCCTTCCCACTGATTGCCGCAGCCGTCCCCCAAGTAAGGACCATAACACTTGCTGCAAGCTTTGTACTGGTCGCTCTGCATCATCGTCATCGGAAAGAAAGCTCTTCTCTACCTCACCTCCATGCAGTAGAACATGATGCCGTTCCAGGCCTCGCCCGTCGTCTGCCGGAACAAGAGGAAGATGGCGCTGTCAAGAGAGCTGTAGCTGGCGAGGTCCGACATTCGGCCGTACACATCTTGTCCGGTGTTCACGTTGTAGAAGAGATTGACTCCCATCACCTGAAACGACGTGACCACGTGTCACAGGCAGGAAGCAAGGGAGGGGGCTCGAGGATGGTGAGAGGGCTTACCGCAAAGATGATGAGGGAGAGGAAGAGGACTACTCCAATATTCCACAGGGAGGGCATGGACTCGAGCAGAGTGACGATCATTTGGCGGATTCCTTTGGATCTCCTGACGAGCCGGAACACCTTGTAGTCTCGTCAGCCAACCATCACAGCAAGAAACTGGGAAATCCTCACCCTCACGATTCGCAGCGCTCTCAGCGGTTTCAAACCCGGGAAAGACACGCTGCAAGGGCAAGTGAGCACATCGTGCGGTATCCTCTCGCTCCCCCAGACCTCACAGATCCGGAGACAGCGCAGCTGTAGTCTCCTCGGAGGAACTCGATGGAGAGGGTTGAGACGGAGATCAGCACAACCAGGAAGTCCAAGATGTTCCACTTGTCTGTGAAGTACCACTTGGGGCCCAGCCCAATCAGCTTCAAGACAGCCTCTGTGACAAACACGCAAGAGAACGAGAAGTTAATCCAGAAGATTATTGCCACCACGCATTCATCTTGATTGTAAGTGTTCATCAACTGACAAGCGACAGTCAGCGTTCGTCTGATCCTCAGATAAGATCACCATGACGATGACGTTGGCACAGATGGAGAAGGTGATGAAGTATTCGAACCAGGCGTGATTGATGAGATGGTAGAAGAAGCTCCGAAACTTGTTCGATGGGCCCTCCCGTCGTTTGAGAGGCTTCAGGCTGGATATCGCCCTGCGCATCTCCTTCCACTCCTGTTGTTCAGGGGTGAGAAACCTGAAGTGCAAGTCAGCCAATCTCAAACCACCCGCAAGCGCTCACGGAGTGATCCCGTCGTTCATGCTCTTGATCCGAATGTAGTTCTTGATCACCTCTGCCACAATCAGGTTGAGGAGGATAAACGCTCCTAGGATGATGTGCACGACGCAGTAAAGAGAGAACCAAGGATTCTGATTCGGTATCGGTGTCACCCCGACCTCAACGACGTCCACGGCTGCCGACATGACATCCATCCACCCCTCTGTGGTTGACATCTGAAACAGAGTCGAGAGAGCTTCAGCCAGGTTGTCGAAGGAATAATCCTTGTCCAACCACACGCCAGAGGAGGTGGGAGAGGTTCCGTCTGTGCCTGCAGATACACATTCTATGATGGTGGGAACGGATGTGTTGCCTGCCATGAGGGGTGCAGGTGTGTACAGATTTCCAAGGGGGAAGTATGCTGTCCCATAAAAGATTTGATTAGCCACATCCACACACCTGGCTTGTTTTTCAGGAGAGGAGAGTCGGGAGGAGAGTTTACAAACCTGTACAACTTGCCACGGAAGAACTGCACACCAAGCATGGCATAGATGACGAACCAGAACAAAACAACCACCATGACATTCATCATCGCGGGAATACTTGATAGCAAGCAAACTACTGCTATCTTCAAAGATTTGTTTCGTTTGATCACCCGAAGTGGTCTCAAAGCTCTCAGGGCCCTGAGAACTTTGAACGACTTCGCAGAAGCGGCGCTTCCAAATGAGCTGAGCATTGAAATCACGACAACGAAACAATCCAAACAATTCCACGAGTCTCTGAGGTAGGCATACTGGTGGAACAAGAGACCGTCCACAATGAGCTTCAGAATCATCTCAGAGAAGAAAACCAAGGTAAAAACAACGTCCATTGTGCTCAAGATGTTATTCTCGTAGGCAATCGAACAACAGGGAGGAATATTCACTGTGCGGCCTGGAGCGCTGGTGGCGTTGCAGGGGTCCCACAGGATTCCAAAGTTAGTGTCCAAGGCGTTTCTGGGGCAATTGATGTTTACAGTTTGACCAGGAATGGCAGCACTTCCCGTGCAGTCAAGTCTTTCTGGAGGCAAAGGACATGCAGCGGCGATGAAAGAAGCATCTGGCGACTCGATGAGCAACGTCACGCTGGTTATCAAGATGCACAACAGAATGAACGTCTCAAAGATGGGATTCTGAATGCAGAATGCCACAAACACCCTCACAGGGTGCTTCCTAGGGAGAATGAAGAAAGATCGATGATTTGCAATCTTCAGCTTTCTGTTCTTCCCGAAGAACCGAATGCTCATAAACAGGTTGGGATCCTCACTCTCGCCATCTGAAGTCGCCTCCGGATGGATTCGAATCGACGCTGCAAATGCTAGTGCTTCCTGCGTTTCAGCCGACGTCGCCCTCAATTTCTGTTGGAACTCGGTACTCAGACGCCTCGGCATTTCCTTGGCCTTCTTTGTTACATTCGCGAGTATTTTTCGGAATCCAGCAGCCATTTTTGAGGCTAAGGATTTGTTTTCTTTCTTTCCGCCTTCTTCACCGTCAGTTTCACCAAATCCCTGCAAAATAGAAGAATCAGAACATCAGGTGAGATGGTTTTGTGTCACCTGCAACAATATCGAGATGAAAAGATTCATCACGATGTAGTTTCCAAACGCCACTATGAAAATTGTCAGCAAGCAATTCCATGGGCTGCTAGATCCAACGGCTGTCATCGAGTTGTACATGATCGTATTCCAGTTTTCAGTCGATATGATTTGAAACACGATGAAGAAGGACCCGTGTCCCAATTCCGACGGGACAAATGAATCGAAGTTGCTACGTGGGGAATCCGTCTTGTTATACTTCAAGTTCCCTCCAAAAAATTGCATGGCAAGCAAGGCAAACATGTACATGAACATAACCCAGAAGATGGTGACAGGGCCGAGAGAACTGATCGCTCTCCCCAATGAGGTCATGATCCGCCTCATTTCTTCCCACGATTTTGCCAGCCTAAGAAGCCTTAGAATTCTCAAACCTCGGAGGGCTGATAAAGATGAGCCGTTTGAACCTGAAGTGCTCAGCGCTCCGATAATGAGCTCGACCGTGCTTGCAATCACAACAAAGCAGTCAAAAACGTTGAACCCATCACTGAAATACTGCTTGAAGCCTAACGCAATCCACTTCAAAACCATCTCAATCACAAAAATGATGGTTAGCGATAGGTTCACGTTGTCCAATACTGCGTTGAGGGAAGTAGGAAAGTCAGGACACTGAGACAAGTCATCGCCGCACAACTGGCGCAACGAAATTTTGACTGGCGACGAAGGCAAAATTCCCTGTTGATAGCTAAAAGTAGCTGCAGTGTATAATCCGAGTTGACACGTTCCACTACCCGTGAAAAAGCAGCCCAAGCCCGTTCTTCCGGCCTCATTTGCACAATCGACTGGGTTCGTTTTGGTTGAGCAGATTGACTTTGAATTCGGCCAGATCAGAGCATCATCTGTCAAGAAACAAAAAATATTCTGATCCGGTCGCATCCCACCACCTTGCCCATCAGTATCCCAAGTTCTGTTGAACAAAGGACCCACACAGTAGTCTGACGCATTAGCAGGTAAGCTTGGATCCAATGCACACCTCCGTTTGCAGATGTTTGTTTCATACAGTGTCTGATCGTGAAAGTACATAGCCATCACAATAGAATTGCAAATGATGGCAACAGTGATCAAGTTCACAAAGAATGAATTGAACACCACAAGCCTCACAATACTTCGAATTTTTCCTGCCCAACTCACTAGTTTTTCGTCCAATTTCTTACCCAGTGAAATATGCTTCCATGAAACGCGAATCGAAGAAAGCATGTTGATAGTTTCCAAAACTTTGGATGACTTCCTTCCTCCTGATTTGTACTGATTCTGTTGAGCAAGTGTTGTCAGTCTATGAAAATCAAATGGAGGTAGACATTACATCGTTTGGCTTCAAGATTGCTTCTTCGTGGAGGGCTTCCATTTCTTTTTCAGATTTCTCTTCCTCTACTGCTTGAAGGTATGCATCCGACAAGACCGCTAGCGCAAGCTGCAGAACAAAGAATGTTCCGACCAATACCCACATCACAAAATAGATTCTTGCGGACCAATCTCCCCAACTTGCTTGGTAATTGTACAACAAATCTGTTGTCCAGCCTTCTAGAGTCAATGTTTCCCACAGTACCACCAAGCATTCTAAAAAGTTGTCAACTGCACATCCAAATTCAGCTTCAAAACAAGCAAAGATTCTAAGACTTACAGCTTAGATATCCACCACCCTCATAGAAAGGGTTGTTGTTCCACTCGGAGCACCAATCATGGTAACACCACTTCTTGAAGCTGCACACCGAATTGTAATATACCCCATCGATGGCGAATTGAGGACAAGGGTTTAGAGAATTGCAGAAAGAGATACCTGCATTGTAACTGCCTATCATATTGTATGCTTCTGCAATGTATGGTATCTGTTGGCTCATGAGAATGGTGCGGGCAGATTCAGAAAAGTTATTCGCTCCTGGAGTGGGATCGACATAGCATCGACCCCTTAACTGTCCAGCAGCCAATTCAAGCGCGAGAATTCCGAATACAGTCATCATGAAGGCCAGCAGCAACACAACGTTCGTCAAAGCACGAAGTGAGCTGATTACAGTCTTGATCAAGGGTTGCATGCCCTTAATCCTTGTCATGGTCCTCAATGGCCTCAATATCCTTGCAACTCTCAGAACAGTCACATTCTGAATGAGCCCAGGGACTAAACTGATCAAACTGCAAATAACGACTACGAAATCAATCCAGTTCCATGGATCTCTCAGGTACGCATGCTTGTGCAAAACAAATCCCCTAGCAATGATCTTGATAACCATTTCCATGGAGAACAAGCATGTGAACAAGTACTCAGTCACTTGTAACAGTGGCTGGACGTTTGACCACGAGCTGCAGTCACCTAGTCGAGTGTAGAAGATTCTCTTGTAGCTGTCGTTCTCGATGCAGACTGATGCAGCGCATGAGCAGACGGGATCGTCCAAGACAAGCAAGATGCAATTCAAGATGATGAATCCAAGAACAGTCCTGTTGAACCACTCCCATTCGGCTATCTTGATGAAAGCTTCTCGGATTGAACTGCTGCTTTCTAAACAAAACAAAGACCTATTCAGGTACTGTTCTTCTTCGCGGGCAATTAATTTCTTCTTTTCTCGCTGCAGATCTCTCAACACCTCCTTCCAATCAACACTCAAAAGCGCAATTCTCTCAGTGTCTGTGGGTCTGCTATCACAGAACCCGCTCGGAGAATAGATCCGCTCCGTCCAGACTTGTCGAAGTTGAGGCTCGCGTTTGATTGGTCCTCTCCATGCTCCTCAACCCGTTCAGATTGTTCACTCATGGTTCTAGCAGATTGTTCCACAAAAAGCCAGCTCTTGATGCACAATCTGTGGTGAAATGTACTGCTATCAAGCCAAACTCCTTGTCAAATCCTGCATTCCGAACCCACTGTAGACAAAGGAGGGCTGAATATCAAGCCTGATAGGAGCTGAAGAAGGAAATAAATCAGCAAGATTCAAGGCATACTAGGAAAGAAGGCCACGTGGACAGCACAAACAGATGACAAGAGGATGGATATGTTAGCGGACGTTCTGGGGTGAGCACTGCCAATGGATGAGTGGAACTCAAGGGATGATGCAAGCAGGTGAACATCATTGTTATCAATACAAAAGGAGACATTGTTCAGACAAGCATAGAGCCCATGTTATTTCATGGAAGGAATGACCGAAGAATCAGGGCAGGCAAGGGGTCATTCGACATCGTACTAAGAGGGATTCTGGGCAGCAAGGCACCAGGATTCTGGGCAGCAAGGCACTTGAGAAGATAGAAAGGGCGTGAAGGTCCGGAGGAAGGAGGAGAAGGGTGGATCAGAGAGCCAGAGGAGGAGGAGGAGGAGGAGGAGGAGGAGGAGAGAAGGAAAGATGTAGTCTCGGTCTCACCTGCTGCTCTCCCGCACACAGTGAGGTACCGACATGTCGAAAGCTGATTGCTGTTGGAAAAATGAGGAATGGTGATGGGTAGGGTAATCTCAAGCAGGGGTACGTTTTAGGACGTTATGTCTTCAATACAGGGGTGGGTTGTGTGAGAAAAAAATAGAAGTCTAGGTGGGGGTAGTTCTGGATAGTAAATAGAGCCTGGAAAAAAAGGTTGAGAGTAGCAAGGGGGTGGGGTCATGAAACTCCTTGACTACCAATGTTTTTGTAATTGGAAGATGGGGTACTACCATGAGAGGTGGTGGATGACTGGTCTTTTGGAGGTGGTAGGGGTGCAAAGATAGCTCATTGAAATGGGTGGGGGTGTGGTGCGTTGTTTGTAGATGACGGCTACAGGGTGATGAAACGTTAGACGGAGGGGTACTTTTAGAGTGAGATGCACGGGTACCTTTCACTTCGGTTGGGTCATCTGAATCGGGGGTGGGTATGAGGAACTTAGTGAATGGTTGCGGTTTTGGATCATTTTGCAAAAAAAACTCAGGGGAAAGGGGTACGGGCCGCAGTGGAGAGGGGTGGGTCAAGGAATTAAAGGGGGTGGTGACCTGGGGAATAGGGGGTTGTTGCCTTTAGGCGTTTGAGTGAAAATTAATAAAAAATCCCGGCGAGATTCTGAGGCGAGCCTAAGTTAATGACTGTCCGGCTTCCAGTGGGGTGGGGTGGCTGGCATTGCCTGGATATGCCTCATAATGTCAAGGGTGATTTGTGGTCAATGAAGGGGTAGGGGTCCACTACACCTTGCATTCTATGATTTGAAACAGTGGGTTAGCATTCCGAAGTTCACTTAGACACTGGGTGGGTACTAAGAGGGGAGGGAAGGGGTACTCCTGATCAACTGTAGCCGGCGGAAAAGTGCAGAAAAGTTGACTTGAGGGACGTGATCAGACGAGGGCCCGCCCCGGAGTCCGACTCTCAGGGTCAGGGCCCCGAGTTTCCGTTAATATCACCGGTTGCAATGAAACGGTTTGTTGTTGCATAGAACCGGATCTGACGTGGAGATGGTCGGGATGCGGCGATCGATGCTGCTGCTCCTGCTGCTAGTGGCGACACGTGCAGGCGCCATGGACATGTAAGAGCAACATGAAGCAGTGCCAGCACTAGCAAACAGCAATGAGCAACCATAGCTGCATTCTTGACGATCATCACGATCATCATGATCACAAGCTCCCAAATACACTTTTATCAGACACATGTCAAGTTTCTGCACATTCATAGTTGCTCACTGTGCGAGGCAACCCTACTGATTCCATGGCAAGGCAAGCTCAAGAGAGTTTCGACGAGAAAGACGTTCTTGAGCTCAATGGAAACAACTTCCAAGAGGTTTGTGAGGAACGAGGCTTGTCACAGGTGCTGAGAGGATGGCAGGGAATCAAGAAGTTTAAGTTCGCCCTTGTGGAGTTCTATGCTCCGTGAGTGGTTGATTCGTCATCATGCTCTTTGTGACGTGTGGGGGAATGCAGATGGTGCGGTCACTGCAAGAACCTCGCTCCCGAGTATGCGAAGGCGGCGACAGAGCTAGCAGAGATCCTCCCGACGTGAAGCTGGTCAAGGTGAGGGCGCGATGAGCGCGGAGTGAGGAGGTCACCAGGGAGCGCAGGTTGATGCTACAGCCAGCGAGAGCGAGTACCTGGGGAAGCTCTACGGGGTAGAAGGTTTCCCAACGCTCAAGTGGTTTGTGGGAGGTGTGCTGTATGACAAGAACCCCATGGTTCGGCGCAAGGAGGAGATCGTGCGGTGGGTGAAGAAGAACAGCGGGCCTCCCGCGAACAAGATTGAGGACGAGGGGCAGCTGGAGGAGCTGAAGAAGCGAAGGTTCAGCGTTGTCGGATTCTTCCAGGACGAAAAATCCGACGAGTACAAAGCGTTCCTGGAGGCAGCGGAGGAGGATCAAATCTACGATTACTTCGTCGTTCACAAACCAGCGCTTGCTCAGCAGGAGGGCGCCAAGGAGCCAGCGCTCTTGTTCTACCGTGACTTCGATGAGAACAAGGTCGTGTATGACGGCAAGTTCGACAAGTCGGAGATTTTGAATGCTGTCAAAGTGCATGCCAGGTTGAAAGACGTCATTCAGGTTGGCCCCTATGACTTTAGCCTGCAGACCGAGGTTGATAACCATGTCGGTGGAGACTACTCCTCTCATCTTTGAGAACCAGCTCCCCAAGGTCTCCTCCTCCTCTCCTCTTCTTCCACCTCACCCAACCTCTCTCCCCCGCTCTTCTCCACCACCACCACCACCACCTCCTCCTCCTCTTCGTCTTCCTCCAGGTCCTTCCTTCTCTCCCCCTTACTCTCCCCCTTACTCTCATTCCTACTCCTCTTCTTCACTCTTGTCAGCCTTGTCCTCCTCCTCACTCGACTTCCAGATCTTTTTGTTCAACCCCAACGAAAAAAGCCTGTCAGCCTTCAAGGAAGCCTCGGACCTCATGCAATTTAGGTCTCCTCTCCCCTCCCCTCCCCTCCCCTCCTCTCCTCTCCTCTCCTCTCCTCTCCTCTCCTCTCCTCTCCTCTCCTCTCCTCTCCTCTCCTCTCCTCTCCTCTCCTCTCCTCTCCTCTCCCCTCCTCTCCTCTCCCCTCCTCTCCTCTCCTCTCCCCTCCTCCCCGTCCTCCTCCTCGTCCGTCTCCCCGCCTCCCCGTGCTTGTCCTGGTCCTTGCCTCCTCCCCCTCTCCTCCTCCTTATCCTTGTGCAGGGGCAAGTATATCTTTGCGGTCATCGGGGAGCAGGTGGAGCAGCTGGTGCTGCCGTGATGTCGTGTGGTGATGAAAGTTTTCGGAGCAGGCGGATCCAGAGTTTGCCACTTTCATCGGAGCAGAGAAGGGAAAGAAGGAGAGCGGTGGGGCGGGTCGAGGAGGAGGAGGATGAGTCGAGGTGACGCTGGTTCTTGTCGTAGAGCTCTTCATCTTGAACGTCCAGAACATGAAGAAGTACCGGCAACAGGTGCTCGTGACCTGTTAGCCGATGGCGCGAAGTGTTGAGGACATGTCAGGGTGTGGTGACGTTGGATGCGATCAAAAACTTCTTGTCGGACTTCGAGAACAACAAGGCTCCGATCTTTCTCAAGGTTTCGTGTTGCTGCTGCACGCAACTCTGATGTTCACTCGTTCTTGTCCTGCAGTCGAGCCCTGTGCAGGAAGGATGGGACAAGGGAGTGGTCAAAGAGCTCGCGTCGTCCCAATGGAAGGAGTTCGTCAACCAGGTGAGCTATGAAAGGAAGAGGGAGGGGGAGGGAGGGGGGAAGAGGGGAGAGGGAGGGGAGGGGAGGAAGGAGGGAAGGGAAAGGAGGGAGGGAGGAGGGAGGGGAG